CGGCCGGGGTTTGGTAGCTCGAGCGAGAGTTTGTGTCTGGTTTGGACCTGTAGCTTTGCATTCTTGGCTCGAGCGAGATTTTCTTCGCTCGAGCGATTAGTTCGTTCTTTCGCTCGAGCAATAGTTCCTTCGCTCGAGCGTGTGTCTAGTTACAGACCTGAGGTTTGAGTTCTTCGCTCGATCGAGCTTCTTTCGCTCGAGCGAGCTTTTGGCTTGTTGCTCGAGCAAGCTTCCTTGGCTCGAGCGTGGTTTCTCTGTTTCTGGTCCGTCGAGCGACCAAGTCTTCGCTCGAGCGAGCCTGTCCAGTTTATATAGCAACGGCGGGTTTTGATCAGTCTTTTTTCATATTCTTTTTGATTCCAAACCCTAGGTCCGACTTCTCTCTCTCCCTTTCACCTTCTCTCTTAGATTGATCCACTTAGGGTGTGTTTCTACCCTAGATCCTTCATTAAAAAGATAGAGTGAGTTGAGGGCTTTCATTTAATCTGAACATTTTGGCGATTTGGAGCACATTGGTATTTGGGCACTCATCTCTGACTTCACCATTTGAGTTGTTGTCTTCGAGGTAGGGATTTCCTACTCCATTTTATAGGTTTTGTTCTAAGCTTTGGTATTTTGATATGTTGGGGATACTTTGGTAAATTTTGGGAAAAACACTAGTTGTATTTATTAAATTAATTTGTATAATTAATTCATTGGCGTAGTTGGATAATTTGAATTATTTTGTCTATTGAATTGTTGACATAGTTATTTTCAGTTTAGAAATAACTGTTTTGGGCTATCGGTGGAGGATAGTCGTGATTGTTGTAAACATTGCATTGGGATTAGGAATAACTGAAACTAATCACATTGGTTAAGTCATTAATTTTGACTATTGCATTGATACAGAAAATACATGTATTGATTGAGCATTGCATTTGCATACATTGTTTTGTGTGGGAGGAGATAGGGGATGTACTCCACGGTTTAGGGGAAGATAGGGGATGGACCTCTAAACCGGATTTTGTTTGGGAGGAGATAGGGGATGGACTCCATTAGCATCACTTTTATGTGTGCTTATTTATATAGAAGTGTTTTTATTGATCAACCACTAAAATGTGTATCAATCTGGAAGTATGAAGTGTTTTGATTTGAGCTTGAGTCTCATTTGTTGTTGATATTGGAAGGATGTGAATATGATATGTGTGATTCACTGTTGTAAGTTTGGCCAGGTTCTGAGCCATGTTGATAAATTTGGAAAGTAAAACGTATCTTTGGCAATAGTGTCATGAGACTGTAAAATGAAGTAATTGATTATTTTGGTTGACCAATCTGTTGAATGCTATTGCTTT